GTTGTAGTGCTACCCACTAGGGAGTTTTCTCAGGATGTCATCAAACTCTGACTCAGTTGAGCATGTATTTATGAATCCAGGGACTTATTTTTAAAATAGTCCACAGGGAAACAGACCTGGGACAAATATAGAATAGAAAAGTAAGTCTTTCATGTAAAGGAATATAGAAATAGTTCTCTTAGTGGTGTAGGACTTATTTGGGGTCATTACTATAGTTAACAATGTTAAACTGTGGAAGATATAAAGCTTCCTAACCAGGAAATCCAAATTCACACTAATAGGTATACTTTTCATATGTTGTGTAATGAGCTCCCCCCTCTTTTTTTAAGGCACTGAATCATGATTTGGTCTTGGTACAAGACTTGGTAAGAACAGCATAGCTTTATAAATTCTTATACCAGCTTAACTAAAAATAAGATTTATAAAGCCAACAGACTGTTGTGATTCTGATCTTTGTACAAAGAATGTCATATTTGTCCCAATAAAATAGGTCTCGGTAAAAAAAACAAAAAAAATAGGTCTTGGTTAATGAAATTCATTCCCCAAATGCTCCATGTACTAGTATTATTTGAGGCTGAACCCCTTGATGGTATTACATTCTGAAACACAGTGGCTCATTAGGAATCTTTAGAAAGTCAATTATTTAAACCATTCCCTTTAAGAAAACAAATCTATGGCATATACTGAAAAAGTCCTAATGAGAGTATAAGAAATGTAACTAAGTTTTTCCATAGGATGAAAGCAGAAGAGGGTTTAACTAAAGGTTTTATGTATTAATTTAATTGCAGATGGTCTCTAGGAATTAAAAGATTACTTCTATAAAGCTCCTTAAATCATAATGGAATCAAAGGAAAAAAGGTGATGAAAAGATATTTAATACTAGTTTATTCAACAATGAAAACAGAATAATAATTCTAATGTGCCAATTAACCCTATTTTTCAGTAGCTAATTTTACTACCTCACTGTGTCCCCCACTTTGGGACTGAGTTTATACTGTTTCTGAAGAGAACTATGGCAACCACGGGCTTCCTATGTGGTGCTAGTGGTAAAGAATCTGCCTGCCAATGCAGGCAGATGTGGTTCAATTCCTGGGTCGGGAAGATCCCCTGGTGAAGGAAATGGCAACCGACTCCAGTATTCTTGCCTGGAGAATCCCATGGACAGAGGAGCCTGCCAGGCTATGGTCCATAGGACTGAAAAGAGTTGGACATGACTGAAGCGACTTAGCACATACACACTCATGGTAACCCACAGAGCAAAAGATTAAGGAGTATGTTAATTCAGGAAATGTTACTTTACCAGCTAGACCTGGAAGTAGTTATTAACTTTTTTTTTCCATTTATTTTTATTAGTTGGAGGCTAATTACTTTACAATATTGTAGTGGTTTTTGCCATACATTGACATGAATCAGCCATGGATTTACATGTATTCCCCATCCCGATCCCCCCTCCCACCTCCCTCTCCACCTGATCCCTCTGGGTCTTCCCAGTGCACCAGGCCCGAGCACTTGTCTCATGCATCCAACCTGGGCTGGTGATCTGTTTCACTGTAGATAATATACATGTTTCGATGCTGTTCTCTCAAAACATCCCACCCTCACCTTCTCCCACAGAGTCCAAAATTCTGTTCTATACATCTGTGTCTCTTTTTCTGTTTTGCATATAGGGTTATCATTACCATCTTTCTAAATTCCATATATATGTGTTAGTATACTGTATTGGTCTTCATCTTTCTGGCTTACTTCACTCTGTATAATGGGTTCCAGTTTCATCCATCTCATTAGAACTGATTCAAATGAATTTTTTCTAATGGCTGAGTAATATTCCATGGTGTATATGTACCACAGCTTCCTTATCCATTCATCTGCTGATGGGCATCTAGGTTGCTTCCATGTCCTGGCTATTATAAACAGTGCTGCGATGAACATTGGGGTGCACGTGTCTCTTTCGGATCTGGTTTCCTCAGTGTGTATGCCCATAAGTGGGATTGCTGGGTCATATGGCAGTTCTATTTCCAGTTTTTTAAGAAATCTCCACTTTTTAATTTTAGGGAACAGCATTTATTTATTTATCAGTTCATTTCTCAAACACTATCTACTATGTGGTAGGTTTTATTCTGGACACTGATAACCAGTGTATCAAAGTTCTCTGCTCTCAAGAAGTTTATATTCTAGCAGAGGAGATAGAAAATGAATACTTTCAAATAGCACTAACTGCTATCAATAAAACAAAACAGGAATATTGTGAAAGAGAATGACCAGGAGTAACAAGAACACATGGCCATGAAAGGCTTCTCTAAGATGATATTTGAACACAGACCTGAATAGTGAGATAAGAACCAGTCGTTTAAAGAGCAGGTGAAAGAATTCTCTAGATAAAAAGCAAGCATGTTCCAAAGAACAGAGATAAGGTCAGTAGAGTTGGTGAGGAGAAAGTGGTACATCTTGAGTTGGGAGAGGCAAGTAGGGTCTAGTTCATGCAGGGCACTGTAAGCCACAGTAAGGAATTTAGATTTATTCTAGTACAAGGAATAGTAACAAGGAGGTTTTAAAAGGGAACTGATATAGTCTGAATTATGCTTTAATGATATCACTCTAACTGCTATGTAGAGAATGTATTATAGTGAAGAAAAGTGGAGGGAGCGGAAAGAAGCCAGGAGTCCAGGGGAGACACCATGGAGATGTGGACAGGGTGCCAGTGATGAAGAATGAAGTGGAAGGATTCAGAATAGAAATCTGATCTGACTGGAACTAACATGTGCTGTATGAAGGGCTTATTAATTTTCTTTTTGTTAGAATCGTAGACTGAGAGCTGGAACGGAGTTTAAAGGTATGTATTCCAATTCCCTACGCAGTGCAGGAATACCAGTGCAGGAAACTCAGAGAGACAGTCATAAGACTGCTTGAGACACACTATTTCACAAAACCATCTTGTTTTAAAGCAGCTCAATATTATACTGCGCTGAAATTCACTCCAGCATTCCATTCATTACTCAATCTGTATATACTTTGTGATAATTATGTGCTGGGTATTATAACACACTGGGAATTAGAGGTATCAAATACACTTCATGCCCTCAGGGAACTCACTGTCTCTCAGAGAGCTTAACACAGACATTGGAAATTCAATAAATAAATCATTTAAATTTTATCCTCTAGAGTTACTCATTATATGTATTCTCTCTTCCTTTCAAATATTTAAAATTCAAATATTGTATCTCCCCTCATCTGTATTCTAGGGAGGGGAAATGTAATAAGCAGAAAATGAAGTAGATATGCAGTATGTCAGGTTTTAAGGCGACAGGTTAAGGAAAGATAAGGAATCTCAGGCAGGTGGAGGCACTGCTGTTTTACATAGGGTTGGTCTGGAAGATCCAATCTGATAAGAGAACATTTAAGTAAGGACTGACGAACAGTTGCCAGGCATTGCACTAGGTCCTGGGGACTAACTTTATGTCCATGGATGGCAACTGGGTGAAGCTAAAATCAGCAAATCTACCTCCAGCAAATTAAATTGCAACCTGAAGATGAGTAGAAACTACAGGGGTAAAGAATTGGGCAAGACAAAGCAGGTGCAAAACCCAGGAAGTGAAGAGAGAGCAAAGAGAACAAGGAGAGGCGATGACTGGGTTCCTCGTTACATCACTGATCTGAGAAAATCCTTCTCTGAATGTGTCTTAATTTTGTCCATGTTCCCCTTTGGGAATGACTGGTATCATTATCTGCTTTACTCTAGATGCCATATCTCTATCAATGCAACCAGTGATTTCAGGCTTAGTCCACTGAATTTGGACTATATGTATATACGGTAATCCATCAGAGCCACTGAATTTTTTTGCACATGAAATGCCTATGACAATCACTGTCACAGCTACTCGAGGCGTCCTACTCTTGACAGAGCCTATGCTCTAACCACAGTAATAGCAGAGAATAGATCAGGGAGGAAGTTGGCGACAGGTGTGGAAGACGGCCTGTCTCTGTCAAGCCTCCTTGCTGTTTCTTTCTCCTTCCCACTGCTCCTGGGGTATATACCGTCACTGTGTATGAACACTCTTGCTTCCTGCTACAGTAAGTCTGCTGAGAAAATATAAGGGACAAATTAAATACATCTATCTTAATGCCCTTTGAGAATTCTTCAGCTGTCTAAAAATCACATAAATTCCATTTTCCAGCAAACTAATATAACTACAGTTTACTTAGTCTGAGCCCCAAGCATACCCCTATGGTGAAAAGCAAAAAATCTCAGCTGTCACTAAATAATCTCATTACCTCATAAGCAAGGCTTTACTGCTGTCTTCCAGTTTATTCCTATGTGCCTTCTGTACCTGGCTTCAATACCCCTCACTTCACTCCATGCCTGCCCTCTGTTTATGCTGCTGCTGTAATAAGTTCTGCTGTCAAGTGGCCCCTTTACAAAGTATCTTCTTTAACTTGGAAGAACTGACATTCTAGAAAAGTAAGAAACAGTGCCAGGGTAAGTCACTTAGTGTGAAAATGCTGTGTACATTTTGCCATCCACTCACCATTGTTTCCAGGTGGCTGAAATATATTGGGTTGAACAAAAAGTTCGTTTGGGTTTTCCTGTCAGACGGTTATGGAATTCCAGTATAATACAACTAATGAGCTGCTTCTGCTTTGCAGCCCTCTAGGGTTCTGACTGAATCTAGTGGCATATATCTAAAGTGACTCAACAGTCTTCCTGTTCTGGCACCAGTGTAGAAAGCTTACACCTCCTCTTCTGATGCATGACAAGGCAAAATATTCCATTTCACACAGTGATTTGGAAAGAATGTGACTGGCAGGTTCTTAAACATTAGGGCTTACCAAGTTTCACTGCAATACATGATATAGTTTAGGTCTATTTCCTGAAAATTATAATTTTATTTTCACTCCACAAGTATCAGAGATGTCATAATGAAAAAGTCAAAAGAAGTCCTTGCTCTCATGGAGCTTAAAACAGTGACAAGTGATACTATAACCACAAATTTAGATAAACTTACAGTTTCGCCTCTAAAGCCTTTTTCACCTCTGGGTCCCTGAAAGACAAAAGAAAATGTTAAGTTTATTTTTTATCAAATGTGCTTGAGGCTGTATACAGAAACATGATAATTTATGTTTTTTTTTCCTTATCTAGCAAGACTTATTTAGTTAAATTTACAGAAATTCTAGTTTTCTTTTCTTATGTTAAGCGAAGCAAAACAAAAACAAATACACTGTATTGATTCATCATATCTGTTTTGCTATTCCTAGTCTTACTTTAAAGTGAGATGTTATGCTACTTATTCATTCAGTTAAGTCAAAGCAGCTGATATGATAATCAAATGCAAAATAATTTAGAAAGGAAATTAACAGATTAAATTCTTCTATATCTGTTTTCCTCGGCCTTTTAAAACCTTGCTTCCAGGGTGGTTTTCCTTCTACTCTTTTATTATCTTTTTTAAAATCCTCCTTCTGAGCTACATCCTATAAATTTTGAAATGTTGTATATACTTTCATTCAGTTCAAAATATTTTCTAACTTTCTTTGAGACACTCGGGTCCATGAATTGTTTATAAGTGTGAAGTTTAATTTTCAAGTGTTTGGCGCTTTTCCTATTATCTTTCTAGTTTACTAATTCTTAGTTTAATTCCATTATGGCCAGAGAACATACCTTATATGGCTTCTACTCTTTTAAGTGTAATAAAATTTGTTTTATGATCTAAAACATGGTTTATTTCAGTAAATATTCCATGTGCACGTCCTGTTGCTGGAACTACTGTTATTTCTGTTACTATTTTCATGTTCATCCTTGTGGAAATTGTGTGTGTATTTTTTCATTAAAAAATGAAATAATACTATTCATCTTTTCTGTAACATGAATATGCACCTTCAAAATATTAATGCTTCTCTGTATCAACCCACAATTCCCACATAACTATAATGTTTACCAGTATTTAAAAACCTATAATAATATTTAAAATAAATTGCCTATTATATATTTCTTTTTCTAATTTTTGTCATGATAGACAACACTGTGATGAATATCTTGGCACTCAAAATTTGTTTTAATAAAAATTGTCCTTCAGAAAGCTTCTTTGAAATTGCACTTATACTTGCAATATACAGGAGTGTATGTATCTTTTTTTCCTGACACATGCTCTAATACACTATCACTTTTTGTTAATCCTGCAGGCTAAAAATACCATCTCATTATCTAATTACAATATATTACTTATTTTGTGTTTCCTATCTTGTATTTAATTCATTTTAAACTAGGTATTAAATTTTAAAAAGGGCTTCCCTGGTGGCTCAGTGGTAGAGAATCTGCTTGCCAAGTAGGTGAACCAGGTTCAGTCCTTGGGTCAAGAAGATCCTCTGGAGAAGGAAGTGGCCACAAAACCACTCCAATATTCTTGCCTGGAGAATTCCATGGACAGAGGAGTCTGGTGGGCTACAGTTCATAGAGTTGCAAAGAGATGGGCATGACTTAGTGACTAAACAAGAGCAACTTTAAAAAGCTGATTTTTAAGGTAGCTTTACGGAACTTCTTTTTACACTCTCTCCCACCTCTAATCCAGTATTGACTTGGTAAAAATCTATATTCTTTTTCTAATCAAATATTGAAAAATGTGTTTATATGTGGATGGGGTGATTGGTCATATTTTATAATGCTGATATCATATACTCTTTTATGCATGATACATTTCATGCTAAATAATACATCATGAAACAACAGTCAGCCAAACTAGATATAAATTCTTTCTAATAGTTTCATAATATTCCACAAAGTGTCTAGATCACAGTTTACGCAACCATTCTTCTACAGATGAGCATTCACGTTATTTCATACTTTTCCCCCCAATACAAATGGTGTTGTGAAAGAAAAACAATCTTTGTTAAATTTCCTTAGTGTATTCAGTACTTTTATTTCTATGGGACAAATTCCTCAAAGTGGAACTTCTTGGTCATAGCATATATGTACATTTATTTTAACAAATATCTTTTTAGAAAGGCTGTAATTCACATTTCTAACAAACATACTACTCTCCCTGCAGCCTTTTCTGAGAGATTAGATGCAATATCTCATCATTACTTCAATTTAAGGTTCTCTGACTAAAAGTTAGGAGAGTACCTTTTCAGATAGTTACTGACCTTTTGATTTGTTCATTTCTCTAAGTTTTCTTTTTCATACCAATTTATAAAGCTTATATATTAACCCCATTATACATTGTTTGCTTTGCAATTACTTTTTCCCAATTGTATTGGTTTTATTTATGGAATCTTTTCCCATACAAAATTTAAAAAATTTAAAGTATTCAAATATTTTTATGTTCTTTCATAGTTTTCAGATGAAGTGGCAGAAGTTGAGAAGGTTAGATAGCATCACTGACTCACTGGACATGAGTTTGAGCAAACTCCAGGGGACAGTGAAGGACAGGGAAGCCTGTTGTGCTGCAGTTCATGGGGTCACAAGAGTGGGACACAGCTTAGTCACTGAACAACAAATAAAGGTCTCCCCAATCCTTAAGCTATACTTTAGCTTCCTATTTTTTTCTAAGATTTTTAATTGTTTCTTTTCTTTCTTTCCTTTTTTTTAAAAGTTCATCAGAGATTTTTAAAAATTGGGTGAAATAGGGTTCCAATTTCATACAGCAGTAGTAAGACTAAAAGGAATTTTGTCCTCCTTCCCAATCACTGGGGTAGGAATGGGTATGTGGCTGATCAAAAGACATGAAAAATAAATATGGGAGAATTCTTGAAAAGTTTTATTTTTCCCAAGACAGGGATATAGATCACTTTTTCACTTTGGATAATTATATCTAGATGTGATAACTGAGAAATTGTAGTCATTTGCCCTAAACCTAATTATGAAGATAACATTTAGGATGGCAGAATAGAGATGTGGAAATGGTCTCGGATAACAAGGTTAAGTCACCAAATACACCAAATCTGAAGCCCTTCCTAACTCTGAGATTCCCATAGTAAGATATAAGTTTCCTTATTGTTAAAGGCAGTTTGATTTAGGGTTCCTATTACTTGCAACCCAAATCATACTTATATACCATTTTCCTTATAATTAAATTCCCATGTAGTCTAAGACCTAATTCCAGGCTCTAAACTGCTACAATGATCTATTGTTTGTACTACCACATAGTTTCATTTACAAAGACTTTGAAATAATGTTTTCTTATTTGGAAGAGCAAGTCCTCCATCCCCCACCACTATTTTTTTCCACAGTGTGTTTTGACCATTCTCAAATGCTTATTCTTTCATAGTGAACTTTCCTTAGAAGTTTCTTCTGAGAATAGAAAAAAATAGAAGATGGAAAAAATTTGATGTGCATGCTGGACATTATAAGGGCCTTTAAGAATTATCTAAACAAAACACAGTAAGATATTTTAATTGAGCCATTTCTTTATCATATTTTCCTTGACCAATTAATACTTCACATTTTTGATGGAAGAGAACAATCATTTCATAATCAGAACAGTATGTGTTCCTTAGCTTGCAGAAGAACCACCCACTGAAATATGAGACTTCTCTCACTTACAACCTCCCACTTAGACTATATAGCTCTGAGTGGTAAATGCTGCAAATCTAGAGAAATAGTGAGTTACACATTTCGTTTTTTTAAAAATCAAAAAGCCAATAACTTTGATGGTGAATTCTTCTCTAAATTTATCAATGAGAATACTGACACTTAGTATTTGAAGGATTCTGTTTTATATTTTTAAACTCTGGTCTGTCTATATATCACACTTTCAAATGATTCAAAATACTGATTCCTTGCAGAGAATGAATCTTTCCTTTCCAAGTCTCAATTTTCCTCTTGTGTGTTTACACTATTTAGTATTGTAAAACCCTCCCATGACTACCTCACCATTCACTGTCTTATTTTCCTATTTTATTTCATAGCAAAGATTCCCTAAGGCACTGGCATACGTTAACTGTCTCAACTTCCTCTCCAGACATTGCTTGAATGGAGTAGAAAGAGCACTGCTCTTGAAGTAGGAAATATTATCTATGTTATTCACTGCCTGTATCATCTTAAATAATGAAGTGAACCTTCATAAATTCATGTTTACTCCTGTCCTGAATGCAAATAACCATACATGCTCCAAAGTCTTCTTAAGAATTTGAGAAAAGTTATTATTACATATTTTTATTTACTTCCTTCCTCAGTGCAAGCTGTACTCCATCTTCTGCTGCAATTTATCCTCTTAAAGATCACTGTTAGCTACTCCTTTCTGGAAACTGACCTTAATCTTGTGCTTTTCTGGGTTTTCTGCTATTTCCACCAACTATTTCTTTCTTTTATAAGAGTGAGTACTTTTAAAGACTCAAATCTTGGCTGTCTGTCTATCTTTTCTTTCTCTCTTTCAGAAAATAGATTCTTTTTATTGCTTTCCTGATTATGATGCTCAACCCCTCTCCCCCGACCAATTCTATTTTCCTTTCTCATTCCAGTGTTAAGTGCCTACCTCACTATATGTATCTTCTTCATTACATTTGATCTCTTAATTCTTAGGAGTAACTTTTAGATGAAAATGTACATTTTTGCCCTTGCTTCTCAAATACCCAGAGTGATTCCTTGTGGATTACTCTGGAATAGGATTAAATTAAAAAAGAAAAGAAAATGGAAAAAAAAAGACCTGTATTGCAACGAACTTACAGTTCTACCTGTTGGACCTATTATACCTTCTTTGCCAAAGGGGCCAGTGTTTCCCTGTAGAGATTAAAAAAAAGAAAAGAAAAGAAAACAAGTCAGTTTCATTGCCAGTATAATTCAGAAAAATTCTAGAAAATGTCTTGCACAATAGCAAAATAGTCCATGTCCACATAATTCCAGTTTTTATTACAAAACCTTATGATGTTAGCAGAAATCATAGTAATTTTGATCTGAATAAATTCTGCATATTATTATAATTTTCCATGGAGGAGAATTAAACTATAATTTCTAACAAGCTGGGAAATCAGTATTGCAATTTTTATTTGGTGATAAGTTTCAATGATGCCATTTTATATGTATGTCATTGCATAACAAATGCAATTGCTTTAAAAGAAGACTACAGAGGGTCATGTAAATAATTTTAAATAAATTTATTTACAGATGTTGAAGGAGCAACTGTCTGAGTGGCATACAGCGTGGAGTTGATAGAAATTATGGGAAAGGACCAGAGGGCATCCTTATGACCAATTAAACTTCTGATTCCTTCATCAGAAATAAGAATGCCTAAATCACAGGGCCATTGTAAGAATTAAATGTGAAAACAAGTTTCAAAGTGTAAGCTGCTACTGGATTATGAAGATAACTTTAAATAAGCTGTATATCTAGTCAACTCCTCCCAAAGATGGAGCCTGTCATTTCTTAATAAATACAAAATACTTACTTTAGCTATTTTCCCTCAACCCCTATTCCCACTCCCACTGGCTGCAAATTTCAGTGTCTCTAGCTCCACTTGACCTGGAATATATAAATGTGAATATCTAACAGGCTTTCTCTTTGTCCATCTCCTGCCAAGGCACAGAAAATACTATTAATGGAGGTAATTATAATGCTATGCAGTCTACTGATAAAAAACTTTAACATTAAGTTGGCTTAGAATGAGAGAAATTATCCGATACTCTAAACAGTAAATGTAATGAAATCACATTAAACATGAAGATCTACTTTAAGTGATAATTTTAGAACATGGTACACAAATCTCAAAGATTTACAATCAAGAGGCTTGATTTCTTAACTTAATCAAATATATCCTCTATACTGACTTATTACTGGAAAAAAAAGTCAGTAAAGCTTTAATCTAATAAATTTGACCATGATCTATCTGAAACAATGATTTATTTATTTATTTTTTTTTTTCATTTATTTTTATTAGTTGGAGGCTAATTACTTATTTTTTAAAAATTCAGAGGTATACATAAACTCTAGAAAGAGTAGACCCAAAGAGCAAAGAGCAAAATACTGTTTATTTTTATCTAAATGTGTTCAAAAGATGAGGTGCTATGGTATTAACTACCTAAACATAACTTTGAAATGAATAAGAATTAATCTAGATATCCTACATTAATTTATTTAACCACTAAATATTGGTTATTGAGCAAGCACTAGGTGCTAGGTCACTTAATATTCATTCTACTTTTCAATCATGCAACTAGCAAGCAACCTCTAATACATTATTCAGTCAATCAGATGTGGATTCAAATAATGACTCCTTTACATACTAGCCATATATGACATTCAGCAAATTACCTTGTGGAGATTTAGTTTCCTTATCAGAAAAATAGAGATAATAGCTTCTCTCATGAGATTTTATAAGGAATAAATGATATAAGGACAAAAACTGAACACCAGTATTTTGTACATAATAGCTTTTTGCTAAATATTAATCTAGCAAGACTTTTCACTTGTCTCTATAATGACTTAATAAAGGAACATTTACAATTATAATTTATTTGTGAGCTAGTTACCAAAACTTTATTATTGTAGAGCTGATAAAATTTCTGGAGCTGCAAAGCAGTATAGGCTTAGATCCTGGCTTACAGAGACACAGCACCTAGTATGACTCTGCTTAGGACAGAGGCTAGACAAGCAGCCAACTTCTCTTTGACAATATCAAGAAAAGATTTAATTACCTGAGAACTTATTTGCACCTGGAGAAGTATTGAGAGGGGTCTATAAATAAACATTTCCCATGACAACACTGCATTTTGTATTATGGAAAACAATTTATTGGAACAGTTAGGGAAGGGGTGTAGGGTTTCTAAAAATTGACTTTTCATTTAATATTTGCACAAGACAGTGGTTTTCAGTTGTTAAGTTCTTCAAGATTCAGTCCTCTTATGTCTGAACTGCTCACCTTCCTCTCTCTCAACTCTCTCCACCCCCGCTTTAGCAGCTGCTATCAGTCATAGAGGGGCTTCCCTGGTGGTTCAGAAGGTAAAGAAGCTGCCTGCATTAGTCATAGAGGAGCTACTACTACATTCAAACCAAGGCTTCTTTTTTTTTAACCTTTTTTTTCTCTATAATTTATAGATCATCTCATCAATTAGGAGAGTGTGGTTAATAAAAACAAAACTAAGAAAGCAAGGAAACAAAAATAACCAATAACTGCTGGTGACTTATCTATGCCATTAATATTTATTTTCTTTACAGTTTACAATTTCAGGCACTAAACAGCTAACTGGAGTTCTTCTGAGTCCTGATCTTTCCAACTCTTTAATTAATTCCTCATCACTCTCTAGGGATACCCACCCCTGAGCAGAGCGATTGGGAAACATTTTTCAAAGTGTGGTCTGAGGAACTCAGGTCATAGACAAGTCTCCTCCAGGTGGTACATGAGGGTGGTCTCTAGTTCCTGGTCATATTAATGCTTATAACATGAAACCACTTTATGTTTTTGTTCCTGGTGTAAGTTAATAAATACATTATCCAGCAGTCATATTAATCCCCCCCCCCTTTTTTTAAAGTAAGAACCAAGAAGCATGGGTGGTCTGCAGGGTCTTTTGTTCAAACTAATATATGAACTAACAGAGGTTGAAAACCTCTCTGCATGTGCTCTAATGAATTTCTATTTTAAAAGTAATTTTATTAAGTTATTAATTTGAAGTATATTATTTGTAGAATTTATAACCCTAATTCCTGCAATGAGCAAAGAAATACAATATATGGGAAAGCAGAATGGCTTCATACTTACCCTCTGTCCAACAGGGCCTTTAGGACCTGATATTCCAACAATGCCAGCATCTCCCTCGGGACCCTAGAAGCATGATTTAAAAAAAGCCAAAATATGAACATTTTACACTTGAAATAACCTTGTACCAATCTATTAAGAACTGGCCCTTAAAAAAATGGAACATGATAGTTAATGAGTACAGGCTGAAGTATTTTGGAGGAATTGTACTGAGGTCTACAACTGTCTGAAATACATCAAAACTAGACTAAGATAGAGGGAGACAGGAATAGTTGGTTGGATGGGTACATAATAAAGTGAGTAAAATGTTATTGTAGAATATAGGTAATAGGTATATGCGTGTTAACTCATTCTCTCAACTTTATGGTATGTTTGAATTTTTCATAGTAAAATACTTGGAAAAACAGAAGATACAGAAGTAGATTATTCAATAAAACTGCTAGGAAAATATATAGTTACATAAGTTTTAAAATTAACATTCAAAACTCACTTATATAATTCCATACCAACTGAAATTTTTCCGATTAAAAAAGAAAATAGAAGCTCAAGTCAGAGATTAAATATTGGTATTTCAACACCTTTTTTTTTTTCTAGATAACTAGAGACCAGTTGAAAATATGTAAGCATACTTTGGGACCTGGGAATCCTTGGAAACCCGTCAAACCTTGAATACCATGTTCTCCCTGTAATGTGAATAGAAATGATTATCATTATTGTATGATGGTGGCCCGGTATGCAGAATAATAAGTGCTCAGTGAATTTCTGAGTTGGCACCTACAGGTTGCCCTTTCATGCCAGACTCTCCACATGGTCCTTGATCACCTTGTGCCCCTTGGTAACCTCTTTTACCTGGAATTCCAGGTTGACCAGGCAGCCCTTGTTCACCCTATGGACAAAAAAAAAAAGAAAGGTAATCTTGACTTTAGAACCTATAAACATATTATTTTAAAATGAAACCTAAATTCTGGCCCATCCTCAAGCATAGTACAAGGCACTGGGGAAGTCAAAATCTGCATGATCATTCTCCCCACCAACATTCTCCACATACATAATATTTGATTACAATGAACAAGAAATGTGGCAGTAGGGGAAAGAGAATTCCAGAGATTGTGGTCATGACTATGGAAAGAGGAGGAGAGAGGGGGCCTGCAAGTGTGGGAGCAGGATAGTGGGGCTACAGGGAGGGTGTGGTATGTGTGGGGGTGTTTGTATGTGATGGAGCTTGTGTTTTATTTGAATGGAAATTATTTTGCTGTGTTTTCTTTACCATACAGAGATGATTCAGCTGATACCACAAACAGAGCAGAATCTCTTGAAATGTGAACCCTGGTTTTTGCCATGATTATTTTTTTCAGTTCCATCATTAAGAAATTTCCGTTATCTGTTTCCCAAGATCCCTTTAATACCAAGCTTATTTATCCCATAAAAGTTCCTCTTACAAGATATAATTATAGTTATTTTGTTTTTAAAAGTCAAGTATTTTAAAATATATTTTTATTTTGTTTTTGAAATAAGAGTTGTAATAGCTTTTACAATTTCTAAAACTTAGAAATCATGTTCAATTTGTAGATAAGGTAATGAAAAATGATGCTTGGTAAACTCTGACTAAAGCTTTCAGATTAGCAAATTATCCTTCATTGTCTTGAGATAAAGATATAGCTTTGGGACTTGACAAATTGGATCTTTTTTTTTCCCCCAGATTCACACAAAAGAGGTAGTGATCTTATTTCTTTTCCCAATTTTAGCATTTGCTCAGCTATCTTTTTTAGTGGAAAGGGATATTCATGGTATAAACATTAACAGGCTCAAATTGTAAATAATAAGTTGCTGAGTCATCTTTCTCAGAATACCTCAAAATTCTTTAGAAGTGAAGTCTTGAAAATCAAATTAAGAGATAATAATGATGAGGGTGCCAATGTCTTAATCCTGGTCTTTAATGGAACTGCATTAGATATTGCTCTAATCTCTTGGCTGTCTGGGTCAAATCTACAATACATTGAGATATTTCTAAGAGAGGTTTTATATGGAAAGCCTATTAACATGTGACAACACTCCTTGCAATGAAGATTAATGCAGGACAATTACTATCACTTTGACTTTAAGAAATAACCTGTGTGCTTATCATATTTGTTAATTAGTTGGTTAGGTTCAGACTTAGTGGAACAGGAAGTGTACCTGAGAAAATACGTAACTGGAAGTAAATAAGATTTTTCTGTTTTGGAGAAGGTAGATGACAGAAAAGGAAGGAGAGAAAAAGTGAGTCAAAGAACATTTTTATAAAGCATCACTAATCCTGGGTTAATAAGTTGTTCCAGCAAATTACATGCTCTGTGGCTATCATGGGAGATGGCTATGTCAAGGCCATGCACTCTCCTTTTTTCCTCATGTGTTTTTTATTATTGGCCAAATTTAATTACAAGCTGTCAATCTTACCATCCTGTGATCTAGTCAATAAACTCAGGGCCAGGAAAGATGGTCAATACTGCTTATCCATCTGAACATGCAAGTACCTTCGGGCCTTGAACTCCCGGGCTTCCTGGTGGGCCTGACGAACCCTTTGCTCCTTGAGGACCTAGAGACCCAGTCAGTCCTGTTCTTCCTGGGCTGCCTCTGATGCCCTAAAAAACAGATAAGAAATGAGGACTGGAGTAGTTCTTAGGATATCCATCCAGAGGCTCAGTAAGTGAGGGAAGGATTGGTGTGCTGAAAGGCTGCCACTGATACACTGCTCAAGTTCGGGAGTTACCCTGGGCTGCTTTCGCAAATAGACAAAATGCTTAAATGATGTTTTGGCTTACCTGAAATCTCTAATTATAGTTAATATAATGGTCTTGGGTTTTTAAAATAAAAATACCCAGGCAGTACAAACTCCACCAGTGTCTCCTGACTAAAGAGCTTAGATGTGAAGCATGTTTGTTGTATTCTAACCTTTCGTGTTACACTCTGGTGTGCGTGACAACTCTAATAACTGATAAATGATTCCTTAAGAAGGATATTCTTCTTATTGTGGTCATTATTTCTCAATATATACAAATACCAAATCACTATATTTTACACTTGAAACTTATATAACATTATATTAACATTTCACTAAAAAAATAATATTCTCTTTCAATCGCATGATTCCAGAAAACTTGCTTCAAATAGCTTAATTACAAATAAAGTTAAGTAAGTAAACAATATTTCCTCAAAGCCTAATCCTAAAACAAGGATTTTTGTAGAGCTTGTGAGTGAAGGATAGTTATTACATTTTCATATGTTTAAAAAATCAAAGGAAGAATAACATTTCAAGACATAGAAATTATATAAAATTATAGTTTCCATATCTATAAACAAAGTTCATTCATTTATATATTGTCTATGACTGTTTTGTGCTAAAATGGTAGAGTTCAGTAGTTGTACCAGAGGCTCAACGGCACGTATTACTTCCCACCTCTGATTGTTGCACTGCAAATTATAAATTGACAAGTGCTTTAAGCAGAACATATATTGACTTGCTGTGAGATTTTATTATCACTGCATATCCACTGTATCAAAACAAAAAAAAGAAGAAAAAAGTCAACTTTGAATGTTGTATTTTTAAGGCACAGTGGAATGTGGATTATTTTGTGATCAAGCTAGATGTCGAAGTTTTGTGTTTATTATGTGATGACACTAGAGCTGTGCTTAAAAAAATACTATATACATCAACACTATTATACCAAGCACTTGACACAATATTCCCACTTCACAGAAATGTAACAGAAAAATTAGGAAAACTAAAATGGAGTATCTCATCATAATAAAAAATTCTTCTCAAAAATTTGAAATGGAGTTGGAGCTAAAGTGAGGTTTATAAGTGGTAAATTTGTTAGCCCAACAATGAAAATCGCTTATTGATAGATAATTAAATCATGCAGCAAAAATAAACTTGTTTGTTAGCCTTTTGGCAAGAACAGTTGCTTGAAATGTCAAGGACACTGGAATACTATCAATAGTCAATTAAAAATCAAGGCAAATATTTCCAAGTGGTTTTCCTTGCCTTTTGATCAATCGATAGATGTTAGTAATACTACTGTTTATTTGAGGAATCAATGCTGAGTTTGAAGTGTCTGCAAAGTTAACCCCTATGAATAGTTGGTGGAGTAATTATAGGTAAAAGTAACTTCAAGTAAGTTAAAAAACTAAATCAGTACAGCCTGATGTGGAATCTGCTACAATGTGATGATTGACAGCAACAGATCAGAAAAAGATGAACTAGACAAATAAACAAAGCTTGTGAAAAAGTTAAGATATTTAGAGCCATGATTATTCATTGTATTTTATTCACCACCAGGTACTCTGAGGAAAATACTTAAATCTACAATATGTTATTGAGCCAGTACTGTCACGAGTGAACTCCATTGACTGGTAAATTTAACTTTCAGTGGTTCTGTGAATTTTTTTTGTCAAAATAGAAACTGAATTTCTTGACTTTAACATGCAGCAGTTTGACGGCTTTGCAGGAATAAAGTTTTACTGGGCTTTTTGAGATGGCTCAAGTGTTTTTTTTTTTTTTTTTGTATTAGAACTGCCCTCTACCTCTATTACTAATGATATATGGTTTTAGAAATTAAATTTTGCTGAAGATTTATTCAATATTTATCTGTGAATTCAACCCAAAACTGCAAGGCAAAATAATGCTCACATGTGAAACATAGTGTGATAAAATCATTTTGATGACAACTATTTGAATCACAAGTAGTTCAAACAGCTTTATACACTTCCTCTGAAAAATTAAAGCAAGTGAGATCTCCATTTCCACAAAAATTTTTGGTGGGTAGATATTCTGAGCTCAAACACTTTCAGTAGCATTTTTCAGATCTAGATGCAAGAAATTTCTCTATTTCAAAATGAATTTAACTATATGAGGAGTTTCAACCGAAACTTCAACTGGAAATAACTAATGTACAACATAATGACATGCCTAAAAGGCAACTACCAAGAGAAGAACTTAGCAGAATTTTATAAATTCCTTCCAAGCAATGAATATGCTAGATTAAAATCATATGCTCATGAACTGCAATATTTGGCAGTACATATCTATGTGAAAAAAATGTTCAAAGATGAAATATGTAAGACATGCAAAATATCATTATGTCAGCATTAACAAATGAAATATTAATGACAAGAAACTGTAATAAGCTAAATGTTATCTCCCATGCAAAAGAATTCCGTTTTTCTCATTAGTAGACTTGTATCACAAAAATCAATATTTAAAATCCATAAAAATTTATTTTCTTTCTTGTTACATAAGTTCTTAAGCAATACTCTTGATTTTGCTTTTTGCCTTGCAAACTCAAAAACAGTTATTAATATTTACAGAAAAATTTTTCTGACCCCTATTTTAGGAGATTATTATTACTTTCTGAGTTGATCCCTGGGATACTAAATTGGGTTGCACAATAGTTGTTCTATGCACTGAACAACATTTGCTAAATATCATCTATGTATAAGGAAGGTACCATGGGAAGCCCTGTGAAAAACATAAACAAGATGTGGCTTTTATTTTTAAGAAGCCTAAAATTGAGAAAGACTGTAATATATAAATAGTTCTAATAAAGGCAGAAATTTAAAAAAAAACATGAGAAAAGAGATATAAAGTAAATACTAGAGAGGTTCTGAAGAGGGGAAGTTACCTCTGGCACTAATCAGCAAAGGAATTACTGAGAAGGTAGGCTTAACTGGAATATAAGATAAAGATATTTCCCTAGAAGTTATAAAAGTGGTAGGAGAGATGACTGGCTTAAGATAGGCTAGAGTCATTTCTGTGGAGAGCCTGGCTGGCAGAATAGGATTTAAAAGGTAAAGCTAATTTTGAATTTAATGTTAAAGCATTTTTCCTTTTTTAAAAAAAATCTCCTCCAAATCATCATGTATCTTTTTATCCTCTTACTAATGGCAAAAAATAGTACAATATACTTAAAAAATTACCTTTTCAAAGTAGATTTTCCTCATGATCACAAAACACTAAAATAAGAACAAAAGTGTGTTTTGCGTCACTAGGTGTCATGTACCACGCTCGGTGCTTAAGGATGTAGACTCTCATTGCTTAGATTGACCTTCACATCTTTCTTTGTCCCAATCTACATCAACCATTTTCTCTCTCACCACTTATCTATATTGGTGGCTCAATACTTGTAAGGAACCTTTATGAGGGTAAAATCTTCACAGAAGGAAGGGGAATGAGGATGGGAGGTGGGGAGGGAGAGAGATCCACATTGTGGATTTAGGATTCACGTGGTGTGGTTCTTCAAGGTTGCTTGCACCTTATCCTAAGCTCGTCAGTGCTAGCTCTTTCCCTTTGATTTTTTTTTTTTTTTTGCCTTTTGGCTGAGGCATGTGGGATCTTGGTTCTGGATCAGGGATCTAAACTATGTCCCCCTGCATTGGGAATTGGAAGCACAGAATTTTAACCACTGTACCTCCATGGAGATCCCTCCCTTTTCTTCCTACAATGTGTTTTACATTGATTTAATTTGGTCTGTGAGCCTTTTGGTTCCCTACCTCTGGGGTAGTTTATCTGGCAGTGTACTTTCCATAAGAGTGATGAGAACCGTGGAGACAGGAGATAATGCCATTTAAGAGCTCATCATTACAAATGAAAGCAAACCTATTCATAGTCATTTGAAATTCTAGGATACAGAATTTCAGAAATGTTTAGGAAAGACCTAAGTCTTATACCAGTGGCCAGGATTCTGATGAGAATATGACTACAGGATAAAAAAAAGAAAAGAGAATATGACTACAGGAAAATCCAGTTTTAAAAACAAAGTTTGGGTGAGCAATGCTCCTCCCAGTAAAAAGAGGTTAAAAAACCCGAAGAAACCAATGGCCTGAAAAGAAGGCTGATTTTACAAAGTCATAAACAAAACATGAAAGGAAGGAAGAAAACAACTACAGCAGACCAACAAAGTAGCTTCAGAATTAAACTAGCTGAAAGTTGTAAAATATGGATCAGTATAATTTTTTTTTTTAAATAGTGGGTTGTCTTTCAAGACTGAGTGTATCCTATGTCTGGATGTATTAGAGAAGTAGTGGATTCCAGATGGAGAGAACACATAACATGTGAAAGATCACCCTAGATGATTTTAGGACACCACAACATTCTACAATTCTAAAATAGTACCATTTCACCTCACTTTATTTGTAATTTAAGTATTGAAAAAAAATCTTTATTCTCAAACAGAAAAAAAAAAATCTATCTTTTGGATGACATATGAACAATGGACAGTCAGAGACTGCCAAACATTCCAGAAGTCAGTAAGTATTTTTAGTGAGGATAATAAAGGCCATATGCCTAGTCTGCAGGGTTAACTGTACACTACACTAGGAGTTTAATTTTATTTGCAGTACTATCAGATATTTCACACAGCACAAAAAAATGTGTTCCAAATCATTTACTGTTCACATTGGTTTCTTAGAGAAAAATCTGAGGAAAGTAGCAGAGTGTTCTGTACAGAGTTCCAAGCAATGTTTCATACAAGTAGAGAACAAACATTTCTTATTATGAATACACAGATGGATGAGTGATTTTGTGTTCAAGAGAAACAGATGCTAATCCCTATGAATTCTTTCCAGTGTCTTCTAAATGATTTGT